AAGAGTTTAGGTGCAGGTTGTTGTTGGGAATTACTGCAGTTTAATCAGCGAAAATCATGCAGCTTGTGTGCAGATGATTGACTCAATTCTAATATGCTATTGCCAAGAATGTCACCGTGGAACAAACTCAGTTCCCCTCTCTCATAACTCACCTGGTGCTTTAAGAGTATAAATGCAACATTAGAATTGTATTCACAATGTTGGACATCATGCCACAAAATAGACAGGTACAAAAAACAATTGCAATGTGGTTGTTTTAAATATAAAGGGCATGAACTTTAAAGATGATCAGATTTACTGAAGCTTTACAAGCTGGAACGACTTAAGCTTTGTACGCTAGAAAAAAAAGTAGCTTAAGATATAGACCATTAATGGTAATAAAGAAGAACAAAAACTCGGGTTTATACAGTATTTCAAAGTAAGACTAGAAAATACAAATGTATATTAAACACATTTAGAATCAGGAAAATACTTCTTTACTCAGAGGGATAACGATTTTGAGCAAGTTATAGTCAACAATAACAACTTGCATTTATATAGTGCCCCTCACACAGGGTAGCATCCCAGAGCACTTAGCAGGGACGGAGCACGACTCCGAGCTGGGGGGAAATGACCCTAGGCACAGTCAAAAAAGCAAGATCTTCAGGCACGATCTGAAGATGGGGAAGTAAGGGGCAAGGCGGAAGGATAGAGGAAGAGTGTTCCAGAGTTTCGGGACGTAGTGCCCGAAAGCCCAGCCATCGATGATGAAACGGAGGGCATGAGGGATGTGCAGGAGGCCGGAGCCAGTCGAGTGGAGGCAGTGGGTTATGGAGTAAGCAGGTTGGAGAGGTAGGGAAGTGCCAGGGCATAAAGGGATTTGAAAATGAGTGGGAGGATCTTGAAATCGATCTGTTCGGCAATAGGGAGCCAGTGTAGTATGGCTAGAAATAATGTGACAGGAGTATGGAGTTTAGTAATAATAATAATAATAATAATAATCCTTGCATTTGATATAGCGCTTTTCACGGCAGGAGGACGTCCCAAAGCGCTTCACAGAACACACTGTAAAGTGAATTGACTGTATATTTGTGGGCAAACGCGGCAGCCAATAGCGCACAGCAATGTCCCACAAACAGTCGTGGATTGAAAATGACCAATTTATTATTGTTTTTGGTTTTGGAGCGATTATTATTAGGCTCTGTGTGGAGTAAGGAAACTTGCCCAAGGTTTCGCCCTCTGCCTGGAATTGAACTCAGGTCTCTCGCTTGCAAAGCGAGTGCTCTAACCACTGAGCTACAGGACTCCACGTCCTATGGGCGAGTATGGGCGAGTAAGCGGGTGGTGGAGTTTTGGGATCAGTTGGATCTTGTGGATGGTGGAGCTGGGGAAACTGGAGAGGAGGACATTTGAAAAGTCGAGTCGGGAGGTAACAAACGCATGGACGAGTGTTCGGCTGTGTCTGGGATAAGATACTGTCGGAGGCGGGCACTATGGTGGAGATGGAGGAAAGGGATCCTGGTCAGGGACTGGATGTGGGGAAGGAAGGACAGCTGTTGGTTGAACCTGATGTCTAAGTTACGCATTGGTTTGGTGAGTCTGAGAGCTAAGCTGGGGAGGTTGAAGAAGTCATATTCGCAGAATAGAAGATGTTGACGGGAGCCAAGGAGTATTGCTTACATCTTGTCGACATTTAGTTGCAAGAAATTTGCCCTCATCCAGGCCTTAATCTCTGCCAGACAAGATGAGAGAACATTGGCGGACCTGGATTTGCAGTTGGAAGAGAAGTAAATTTGTGCGTCACCTGCACTCATGTGGAAGTTTACCCCGTACCTACGGATGACATCGCTGAGAGGGAGCATATAGATGAGGAAGAGGGGGCCAAGGATGGAGCCTTGTGTACATCTCAGGTGATTGGGTGGGGGCGGGAGGAGAAACTGTTTGAAGATACAAAGTGAAGGCGGTTTGTTAGACAGGCTAGTGCAGTGCCACTAAGGTGGATGAGGGAGGAGAGGCGGTGGAGGCGGATGGTGTCTTCAACTGTGTTGAACGCGGCAGAGAGATCCAGGAGGTTGAGGAGGCAGAGGGAACCCTGGTCACAGAGAGAGATGTCGTTTGTGACCTTGACTGTGAGCTATGGGCAGAGCAGAAACCAGACTGGAGGGACTCAAGGAGGGAGTTAAGGGAGAGGTGTGAGCAAACCTGCTTAGCAACAACGCATTCCAGAGGTTTGGCAAGGAAGGGCGGGTTGGAAATGGGACGGTAATTTGTAAGGTTGGAGGGGTTCAGGATGGGTTTTTTGAGTGACGACAGTGGTCAAATAGAGCTCAAAACATTGGAGCTATTCAAAATCTAATTAGATTACTGGTTGGGAAAGTTGATGTATTGGAAGGTACCTTAAAGCAGATGGGGGTTCCCAGACCTTTCATAAATTCATATAAAAAAGACTTACAAAATAAATTTCCACGCAGATTTGGAACTCTGAGTAGTTTGGTTTGGAAAACAAAGGTTTTCTTGTGTATCAACTCAACCAACTGACCAAAACAATAATAATACTTGCATTTGATATAGCATTTCAGAGGAATATGTGAAGGTCATGCTGTCTGCTATTCACTGTATTCACCTGCTTGATCTGTTCTATGTGCTTGTATTTAGTGAGTCACCTCACTTTCTTCTTCAGCAATTCCCTCAATTTAAGTCTAATTATCACAATGCTGCATAATATTGTAACGTATTAATCCTTATATTTTATATAGCACTTAGAATGTCAAAGGCTTAAAAGTGCTTTACAGGAAATTGCTATCAACGACAACAACTTGCATTTATATAGCGCCCCAGTGTTACAGAACACTTCACAGTGGTGGAGTCTGACAACGAGTCAGGAGGTGACCATAGTCATAGTCAAATAGGAAGGTCTTCAGGTGCGACCTGAAGTTGGGGAAGGAAGGGGCTGGCGGAGGGCAAGGTGAAGAGTGTTCCAGAGTTTCGGGGCACAGTGGCTGAAGGTGCGGCAATCAATGGTGGACATGAGGGACATGCAGAAGGCCAGAGCCAGTAGAGCAGAGTCAGCGGGTTGTGGGTTAAGCAGGTTGAAGGCGTAGGGAGGTGCCAGGAATGAAGGGATTTGAAAAACAGGTGTGAGGATCTTGAAATCACTCCATTCGGTGATAGGGAGCCAGTGGAGCCTGGCTAGAACCGGTGTGATGGGGGTTTAGTACGGGTGAGTATTCGGGAGGCAGGGTTTTGGATCAGCTGGATCCTGTGCATGGTGTGGAGCTGGGAGATCGGCAAAGAGGACATTTGAGAAGTGGTGACGAGCAGATGGGGCCTCGGTTTAATGTCTCATCTGAAGGCAGCACGTCTGACAGTGCAAAACTCCCCCCAGCACTCCCCTGGAGTGTCAGCCGACTTCGATACTGTTGAGTTCAAAGTCCAAAAGTAGGGTTTGAACGCACAACTTTCCGACTTGACTCAGAGGAGAGAGTTCTAACCAACTGAGGCCAGGGCGATATAGTATACAGAGTTAATAATGTCCACAATCATCCTTGCATTTGACATAGCGCCTTATCACGTTGTCTAAAAGTCTCAGTGAAAGTACTTCACGGGATATACTGTAAAGAGGAGGGATGGTGTATTTTGTGGCCGAAACGCAGCAACCAGTTTGCGCGCAGCAATGTCCCACAAGCAGCCCAAGGATGGAGTGATTAACCAATTTTATTTGGGTGGGGGAAGGGGGGTTGAGAATAGATAAATTGTTGGCCAGGACACCTGGAGAAGGGCACTGAGAAGGTGAACGAGGAGAAAGTACAGTCCTCTGCGGAACGAACGATCTGTTCCTCTCCTCCTTTTAAAGAGCAGCTCCTTTGTGGAGTCTTGTAGCGTACTGGTTGCAGGCGCTCACCTCCCAAGCGCGAGGACCCGGGTCCGATTCCAGGGCACGGGCGAAACCTCGGGCAGGTTTCCTTACCCCACGCGCCCGTTGACCCAGCGGCTCGGTGCGAACCTGCCGCGCCAGTTGACCGGCGGATGGCTTTTCCGGGGGCAATTAATGGCTCGGGGACGCCGCTCGGCCTGGAGGGCCCTATACAAGTGCAAGTCGCCGTTAAAAGGTGCCGTCGCCGAACCCAGGACGGTTTGTGGGGGACACCGCCGGTGCGCGAGGGACGCACCCACACAGAAAAAAAACCCCCACTGTCCGCTGTCGTCCGCGAAGCGCTTGGAGACGTCTTGGAAGACATGATAAGGCGCTCTATCACAGGGGCAGTGCTGCTGCTGTCTGGAGGTCAGGGCGCCACACGGTTGACCTACAGACGAGTGACACCGCCTCCCAACTGAACTCAGAGAGGGAGAGAGAAAAAAAATTTAAAACTCACCAAAGCCATAGCCGCTCGGCTCTCTCTCTCTCTCTCTCTCGCTCTCTCTCCTCGCTGTCCCGTCCCCCCTCCCACCAGCGCCGGGAATGGATTCCCACTTCCCTTTCCTAACCGTCTTGAAGCCGCGAGCTGTCGCCATGCGTTTTAAATAGGAGGGGCGGCGGCGAGTCCCAGTTCTCTCCTCCTCCTCCTCCTCCTCCTCCCACCGCCGCCGCCGCCGCTGTGAGTCACACCATCCGCCGCTCCGGCCATCCGGGGGCCGCCGGAAATCAAACACGCGTTTGTAGCCCAAAGTCCAGCGGTGACTCGCCCCAAAAATAGCCCAATATGATGGGGTCCCGATGCCTCTACGCGAAGTGGCTGTGGAGTTTTGGGGGTTTGTGCTCTTTTCTTTTTGTTGAAACGGTCGTAAGAAAAGGCATTGGGGGAGGAGCGAGAAGACGACGTTTCAGAGGGTAAGGTTTTATTGTGTTTTTGACCCCCACCCGCCGGGTCAGAAAAGAAAGCGCCCAAAGTGGGCGTGAAAGCCGCCCAATCCGGCAACGTTGGGTCACCAGCTCTTCGCGGCCGTTAGGGGGCGCGCTGTGGAGACTCCGGTCCTCCGAGGTGACGTCTCAAATCACGTGTGTGTGTGTGTGTGGTGTGGTG